GACACAAGATCTGGCAGGCGCTTCGCCTGCCGTCTGTACCCTTCCCATGGTCCCTTGCGGTTCATCACCTGTCACTCGTTTCGGGCTCACCTCTGCCATGCGAAAAACGAAGCGCCTGAGGAGGAGGCTGTGATTCGACGGTCATGATTCGACTTGTCATCATTCGACACTAATCACGTGACGTATCGCTTGGCAGTACGTAAACTGTAAACGGTTGCAAAAATAATGGAGAGTTCTGCCGTGGGATCCGAAACAGTGAGAGAAAAAGCTGGCTAGCAAGGAAAGCTTAGCACTAAAGGACATAAGTGTAACGAAGCTAGAATCCCGACAAATGCGCTTTACCTGAAGAGGAAAGCTTTGTTGCCTGGAAAGCGGCGACATGATACAGAAATTATGATAACATATGATCAGGTGATAAACCTGGAGTTCGATTGCCGAGTTCGAATGTGTTTCTGTAGGCGATTTCATAATGGACGAATCATTATCAATACGGCGAAAAGCGAAATAGTCCGATGGTTTATCGTTTGTCTTCTTTCGTATGACAAGGTTTCGGTATTTTGCCGTTGTGAATACCACCCGCAATTTACATGTAACAGTGATGCAAATTTAGTTAACAGGGAGGCAAATTTATATTTCTTCAAGTTGGTACTTTTTCGTCCTTACTTAGCTTCCGCATGGTTAAAAAACTACAGGAAAACTTGACGTTTTGCAGAAGAAATCAACAGATAAATTGATCAGTCTGCCGTTGTGAAAGATTTTGCTGGAGAGTTTGAAAGTTTGTCGACCGTTGAAAAATATCACAATGTTCGGTCCTCGACCTATGACCCTAGTGAGCACAAATAAAGAAAACCATACAAAAAAGAAAGCAACATTTGTTTTTATTGAAAAAGGGTAAAGTATGATATTTCTTTAAAGATCAAGGTAGAAGCCCAAAAACAGTTAAGAAAGGAGCCGAAAAACTTATTAATCGTGACGTCCACACGCCCGATAACATGTATTACGATCAGATTGCGTGACTTGTATGATAGGCTGTTGTCTGAAAAGGAGAACAAATTTATGGATCACAGTCCTCTTTTTCTGAATTACAAGAGAAACATTCAAGCTATCACTAAAGTAACTTTCAGATTGTGTGCTTTGATTCCTGTAGGATACTGTACTGCTTGGTACCCCTCGGTCGAATCATGACAGGTCGAATCATGTCCGTCGAATCATGTCTAAAAATCAAGGTGTATACACAGCACTGAAATCAGCTGTAAATAAGAAAAACCAATGATAATAAAACTGAAATAAAGATTATATATAGTGAATCATATTATTCGTCTTTTTAAGTGTATGGAACGCATTTCACTATCGTTTATCTTTAATACGATATTGACTTGTTGTGTTTTTTTCATCGCGACGTTTCAACCAGTTACGTACGTCTCGGCTGATCTTCATCCGGCGATGGTGTAGATTAGCTGTGCAGAACTATTAGGAACCGTGGTTGCTAATAAAGGAAAGGTTCATTTAAGTGTACGAAAAGCGAAAAAAAACATACTGATCTGAAAAAGATAGTTTTTTTTTCGCGGTGAATAGGGCATTAAATCGGCTTCTGTTTAGTGAATTCTACCTCTAATTGAGACGGGAAGTGTTCCATCCAAAGCCAGTAATTCACTTTCTCTACCATCATTATGAACTACAAAGGCAATCATAAGTAACTGTTATCATGATTGTGTCATCAGCAATTATTGTACTTGTGCTAAATTTTATAACTAGGCCTCAAGAGAGAACTAGACAGTGCCGGATCCAGACCTTGAGAGAGCGGTCTCCAAAGAAATTTTTTTTGGCCCTTCGGGCCTCAGTTTGGTCTAAAACTAAGGGGGGCGGGGGTGGGCTCTCCGGGCCCCTCCCCTGGATCGGCCACTGCTAGACTGATTCTTCCTTGCTGGGGATCCACAAATTGAAGAACTAAGCCACCTTTGATCGCTCCCCAGCGTTGGGGAGCGATCAGAGGCGGCTCATCTGAGTGACCAAGGTGCATTCGCAGCATCTAAGATTTTCAAGAAAATAATGGCCACAAAGCCCTACTTATCGCTCGAAAAGGTTTGAAAGTTTGCGCCTCATAGTATGACCAAACCGATAAAAACGGATTAAGAATACAGATTCAGAATATATTCCAGTCTATCCTGAATAGCTTTGAAAGCACTCTAGACAGCTTCAAACATTTTGACTTTAGGAAGTTCAAAGAACCTTCGCAGCAAGCTAGCCGTAGATGTAACAATGAGGAGCTTTCTTACCGAACTTTTGCAGATCAGGTGTTAGGTTGTTGTATTCATGGAGTGCTCTTGCACAATCTTGTCGACACAACTCTGCATTCTCATACTGATAAAATAAAACAAATAAAAGAAACTTTAACCTGAAAACAAGCCTCAGGTAACCTTCTTTGAGGAACAAAACATGAGCTTAAATTTAAGGTAATGACCGGTTTTTGCTATTTATATTAAGCTTGTCGAACTTTCCCGAGAGTGTGACGTGATAAAAACAAGCAAAGAAAAAACCTTTAAATTAAAAACTTATCTATGACACCCAGCTACCAGTTCAGCATATCGTAAAATCCCGTTCAGTTTATGAATTCTACAATTTGTAATGACTATTGCAAGTTTGAGGCTAGATCAGCGGGATTCCACGCCCCTAGGGTTATGGCGGCAGCCCTTATGATGAGTTGGGTCGGAGGCCGTGCGACCTGGTGATCTTCCCAAGGCGTTTTACTGCGTTTTACCTCAGACACCTGCGTGTGAGGCTATAGAAGTATTAGAAGGGGTTGTTTATAAGTCATTAATTTCTTTTTTTTTTTGCGATTAAGCAATGAATTGTAAAGCGCATAATGTGCCTACTGGTTCAAATACCAGAACAGGAAATGGATATACTGGAGGTCTAAGTAGTCTGGCCTCCCATGAAACGTTCCTTTTTTGAAGCGTACGAGACATCAGAAGGCATGATGATGATAATAACAATATTATCGTTTGTAATAATAATAATAATAATAATAATAATAATAATAATAATAATAATAATAATAATAGTAATAGTAATGATAAACAAAACGAAGGCAATAACAGTCCATTCAGCCTCTGTTTTTGCCTCTCCTCTTGCTCCATCACCATGCTCCCCCAACTCTCCACCAAGGAAATGACTGTTTCGCGAGCTAGATGTGTTCGAAGTTTTAGGGTTTCTTATAGTAATGACAGTATTGTCACTGATAGTTTTGCGATGAGAATGCACCAGTTTGCAAGTTTAATAGCAACGTAATGTATGTCTGTTGTTGCTGCTTTCAAGCTACGTTTAATTTGAAGACCAGACTTTATAGCCAATGGGCTTCTGTTCTATCCCCTCAGAAACGAAAAAGAAAGACACTCACTTTGCGATGACCACGCAACTACTCGGCACTGGGGCCGGCAGTGACTACCTTGGCAATCGGCTACTTCCTTCGTGATAAGTGAAAGGAGGGATTCATGATGCCTCTTGGGTGAAAACGTCACCAAAAAAAAAAGGGAATTTGCGTCCCTTCAAATTTGAACCCGCCCAATTTGTGAAAAGTAGGCGACTTTTCCTGGAGTTGAATTTCCTCAGTTTTAGGGAAAGTTCATTTAATATGACAAGGGGGGGGATGAAGATATTGAGGGGGGGCTCCGAAAATTTTTAGACACCCGAAGGGGGGGCTCTGAAAATATTGCGCCGCTCGGGGGGGGGGGGCCGAAAATTTGTATACGTCAGCGTGATGGGATGGAAACACTTGACATGGCGTGTCGGAGACGAGTATAACAAATGGAATGCAGTTGAACCTAGCGTGATCGAAGACAT